TTGGGAGCCCATTGAGGCCTGTAGTGAAAAACAATATCCTGCGATAAAAACTAGAAAGAAATTATCTGCGAAAATCTTTGCGAATATGGATTCGTTTCACAGAGATAAACCCTTCCTTTGTTTCAGCAAATTGGAAACACTGTTTTGCGGAATATCGGAAGACTGTAGTCCTATAGTAAAAAACCGAATATCCCTTGATAAAACTGGAAAGAATCTATCTGTGAAAAAGTTTTGTGATGTGTGGATTCAACTCACAGAGTTAAACTTTATTTTGATTCAGCTAGTTGGAAACACTCTTTCTGTAGAACGTGTGCAGGGGTGTTTGGGAGCCCATTGAGGCCTACAGGGAAAAACTGAATATCCCACGATAAAAACGATAAAGAAGCTATCTGTTGTGTGATGTGTGGATTCATCTCACAAAGTTTAAACTTTCTATAGAATCTGTTCAAGGACATTTGGGAGCCCGTTTAGTCCTATGGTGAAAACAGATATCCCACGATAAAAACTAGAAAGAAAGTATCTGTGAAAACACTTTGTAATGTATGGACTCATCTCACAGACTTAAATCGTTCTTTTGATTCAGCAGGTTGGAAAGACTCTTTCTGTAGACGCTGCACAGGGATATTGAGAGCCAATTGAGGCCTATAGTGAAAAACCAAATATCCCACTATAAAAACTAGAAAGAAGCTATGGTGAAAATGCTTTGCAATGTGTGGATTCATCTCACAGAGTTAACCTTATCTTTCCATTCAGCAGGTTGGAAGCACTCTTTTGGTAGAATCTGCACAAGGACATTTGGGAGCCCATTGGGTCCTACAGTGAAAACAGATATTCCATGATAAACACTAGAAAGAAGCTATCTGTGAAAAAGCTGTGCAATGTGTGGACTCATCGCAGAGAGTTAAACCTTTCTTTTGATTCAGCAGGCTGAAAACACTCTTTCTGTAGAATCTGCACACAGACATTATGGAGGCCATTGAGGCCTGTATTAAAACCTGATATCTCATGATAAAAACGAGAAAGAAGCTATCTGTGAAAATTCTGAGAGATGTGTGGATTCATCTCACAGAGTTAAACCTATATTTTGATTTACCAGGTTGGAAACATCCTTTCTGTAGAATCTGTGCGAGGACATTTGTGAGCCCATTGAGTCTTAGAGTGAAAGCAGATATCCCGCAATAAAAACTAGAAAGAAGCTATCTGTGAAAACGCTTTGCAATGTCTGGATTAATCTCACAGAGTTAAACCTTTCTTTTGGTTCAACAGGTTGAAAAACTTTCTGTAGAATCTGTGCAGGGACATTGGAAGCCCATAGAGGCCTATAGTGAAAATCCGATATCCTGCAATAAAAAGGAGAAAGAAATTATCAGTGAAAACGCTATGCGGCAATGCATGGATTCATCTCACAGATTTAATCCTTTCTTTTGATTAAGCAGGTTGGAAACACTCTTTCTGTAGACTCTGCACAGGGATATTTTGAAGTACTTTGAGGCCTGTAAAGAAAAACCAACAAACATCCTACGAGAAAAATTTAATCAGGGTGTCTGTGAAAATGCTTTGCAGTGTGTGGATTCATCTCACAGAATTCAACCTTTCTGTTGATTCAGCAGGTTGGAACCACTCTTTAGAATCTGCACAGTGACATTTGGGAGTCAACAGAGGCCTATAGTGAAAAACGGATATCTCAGGATAAAAATGAGAAAGAAGTTATAAATGAAAATACTTTGTGATGTGTGGATACATATCAAAGAGCTAAACCTTTCTTTTGATTCAGAAGGTTGGAAACACTCTTTGTGTACAATCTGTGCAGGGACATTTGGCAGCCCATTGAGTCATATAGTGAAAACAGATATCCCATGATAAAAACTAGAAAGAAGCTATTTGTAAAAAAAGCTTAATAATGTGTGGATTCATCTCACAGAGTCAAAACTTTCATTTGGTTCAGCAGTTTGGAAACACTCTTTCTGTAGAATCTGCACAGGGACGTTTAGGAGCCCATTGAAGCCTATTATGTAAAATTGATGTCCCACAATAACAACTACAAGTATACTATCTGTTTAAAAGCTTTGCAATGTGTGGATTCAGCTCACAGAATTAAACCTTTCTTTTGATTCAACAGGTTGCAAAGACTCTTTTTATAGAATAAACGAAGGGACATTTGGGAGCTTACTGAAGCATATACAAAAAACTGAATATCCCATGATAAAACTGGAAAGAGTCTATCTCTGAAAATGTTTTGTAATGTGTGGATTCACCTCACAGAGTTAAAACCTTCTTTTGATTCAACAGGTTGGATACGCTTTTTGTAGAATCTGCAAAGGGACATTTTGGAGACCATTGATGTCTATAGTGAAAAACGAAATATCCCATGATAAAAATTAGAAAGCTATCTGTGAAAGCACTTTTTGATTTATGGATAAATCAAACAGACTTAAACCTTTCTTTTGATTCAGCAAGTTGGAAATACTCTTTTTGTAGAATCTGCACAGTCACGTTTGGGAGTCCATTGAGGCCTATATTGAGAAACCAAATATTTCACCATCAAAACTAGAAAGAAGCTATCTGTGAATACCCTTTGTGATGTGTGGATTCATCTCACAGAGTTAAAACTTTCTTTTGATTCAGCAAGTTTGAAACACATTTTTTGTAGAATTTGCAAAGGAAAATTTGGGAGCCCATTGTGGCCTACGGTGAAAAACTGAATATCCCGCCATAAAAATTAGAAAGAAGCTATCTGTAGAAAAGCTTTCCAATGTGCTAATTAATCAAACAATGTTAAAATTTCTTTTTGATTCAGCAGGTTTGAAACATTCTTTTTGTAGAATCCTTGCTGAGACAATGGGACCTCATTGAGGCATGTTGTGGAAAGCCAAATATCCCGTGATTAAAAACTAGAAAGAAGCTGTTTGTGAAAACGCTTGGTGATGGGTGGATTCATTTCACAGAATTAAACCATTCTTTTGATTCAGCAAGTTGGAAACACTCTTTGTGTATAATCTGCCAAAGGACATTTGGGAGTCCATTGAGGCCTATAGTTAAAACTGAATATTCCGTGACCAAAACTAGAAAGAAGCTATGTGTGAATACACCTTAAGATGTGTGTATCCATCTCACAGAGTTAAAAATTTATTTTGATTCAGGAGGTTGGAAACAGTCTCATGTAGAATCTGTGAATGGTCATTTTGGAGCCTTTCAGGTCTATAGTGAATAACTGAATATCCCACGATAAATACTAGAAAAAAATCTAATGGTGAGAGCACTTTGTGATATGTGGGTTTATCTCATAGAGTTAAACCTTTCTTTTGATTCAGAAGGTTGGAAATACTCTTTTTGAAGAATCTGTGAAGGGTCATTTTGGAACTCATTGAGGCCTACAGTCAAAAACTGACTGTCCCATGATAAAAACAAGAAAGTAGCTATTTGTGAAAATGTTTTCCAATGTGTGGATAAATCAAACAGAATTAAATATTTTTTTTTATTTAGCAAGTTGGAAACACTCTTTTTGTAGAATCTGTGCAGTGACATTTTGGAGTCCATTGAGGCCTGTAGTAAAAAACTGGTATCCTGCAGTAAAAACTAGAAAGAAGCTATCTGTGAAAATTCTTTGCAATGTGTGGAAAAATTCTTTGCAAAAATTCTTTGCATCTTAGACAGTTAAATATTTCTTTTGATTCGGCAGATTGGAAACACTTTTATGGAGAATCTGTGCAGGGACATTTGGGAGTCTAGAGAGGCCTATAGTGAAAAAACAAATATCCCGTGATAA